TACTATTCTCTTTAAAATAAAAATAAAAATAAAAATAAATGTGCAAGAATTTTTAAGGAAAGATGAAACTTCTGAGAGGACATAAAAAGAAAAGCAGATTTAGCACATTCAAAAATAGGAAGATTGAGTACTGGTAGTATTTAAACAGTGTATCAGATTTCTTGAAAAACAATAATAAATGCTAAAGAAAATGTGGTTATCATCCTTTTAAAAGTACAAGAAGCTTAAAAGAAAGTGAAGAGGACCCAGAGGCACCACAATGACTGAGAATCAGAAAATGGAGAGGTAAATGTGCTCTGAAGTTACAGCCACCTTCAGGACATTTGCTGACATTCATTGCCCTAAAAATTTGCATCTTAACAGTCTGAAAAACTCAAAGAAATAATTCCTTGAGCCCACAAAAGAACAGGATCTAGAAATAAATTTCTATATAAAAGTGGGACTATCTAAGACTTACAGTTCAGAGAAAGGAAAAAACAGAATCAACCTGACTTGAAAGGAAAATGATAAGGAACATTTCAGTCTTGGTCTAGATTTTCAGCAAAAAAGAAAAAAATGCTATGGATACTTCACCATTATATAAGAGGTCCCACGCAGGCAAGAAACATCAATGCAAAAACTTCCTCCACAGAAACTATAATTGTTAAATGGCACAATATAAATGCTTCAAGTACATGAAAATATGAAATAAAAAGCAGAAAGGATAAGTTTTAAAAGATCTGGGAGATGGGAAGAATATTAAATTTCTAGGAATGAAACAATGTAATCAATAAAAATCTTAAAAAGAGATCTTACAGCCAGAGAAAACACCAATTGCTTACAAAAAGAACAATGAAAGATGGCCGACTTCTCAAAAGCAACAGAGGCTAGAAGACAGTGGATAGTATCTTCCGAAGACTGAGAAAAAAATAATTGTCAGTACAGAATTTTATATTTAAATCATTAGGCAAGAATAGTGGTAAAGCAAATTATTTCACAACAATAGGAATAAAGCCCTAGAACATTAACAATAAGCCTTCACTGATGTATTCTATCAAAATGATCCCGGAAGGAAGATATGACGAAACAGAAATAATGTATGAATAAAAGAATAATCATGTTATTAAATCCACAAGTAAACACTGTTAAAAAAAAGCAATACCAATTTTAGAAGTTTAAAAAGAGAACAGGACTAAAATACTAGACAACAGTATTATATGAAATGAAAGAAATCAAAAGTTAAAGCATTCTGAGTTTTTTTTTTTTTTTTTCTGGTTTTTTGAGACAGGGTCTCTCTAGGTAGTCCAGGCTGACCTTGAACTCACTTTGTAGTCTGGCTGGCCTCAAATCTGTGGTGACCCTCCTGTATCAGCCTCCCAAGTGCTGGGATTACAGACATGTACCACTATGGCCAGCTTAAAATCCTCTGTATTGTTCTGAGGGACAGCAAACTATTTTTAGTCTTTGTTACATTAATTATGTAGTTAAGCTATACAATCAATCATGACAATGATTTAAGTAACCTAACAAGGAGAAATAACCACAAAACAGTTACATTCACCAGAAATAGCAGAAAGGTTATTTCATTTTTTATCTACAAGTTGATGAAGACATCTTTAAAGAATAATATCCTACACATTATACAATATGTGGCATTTTGCCTGGCTTCTTCCATTTAGCATGTTTTTAAGGTTCATGTTGATGCATACATGTATCAGAGCTTTGGTTTTTTATTGCTTAATAATAGTCCATTGTTAGGATATACCAAATTTTATTTATCTACTCATCAGATGATGGATACCTGGATTGTTTCACATTTTTGGTTATTTTGAATAATGGGTTATAAAGCCTTTCTGTCTTTAAACATTATAAATGGTTGGCACTGTCAGACTTATTTTTTAAAATTTTTTATTAGTACATGTTTATAGTACATAATGATTACATTCATCATGGGGAGTTGGTACCTGTCCTTAACACACCTTAATTCTTTTTATATCCCCTTTCACTTCTCCTTCTCCTCTCCCTCCATCTCTTGGTCACTGTCAGACTTCTTAATTTCTGCTAGTCTACAATATGTAAAATACTACCTCACTGTGATTTTAATTTGCATTTCTGATTGCTAATGAGATTGATCACTTTTTTCTATGCTTATGGGCTACTTCCATTTGTTTGAACTGCCTATAAATACATTTTATGGAATTTTTCAAAACAATTATCTTTTTCTTGTAGAAGCTCTTTATGTTCTGTTTTTTTTTGTTTTGTTTTTTTTTTTTTTTAGTTTTTTTTGGTTTTTCTCCGGTACCAGGAACCGAACTCAGCTCTTTATGTTCTGGATACTAATTTCATCACTGCCTATATGCACTGCAAGCACTTCATCCAATTTATGGCTTGTCTTTATAATATTGCTTGATAAAAATTTTCATGTACTCAAATTTATCAATCTTTTAATGACTATTTTAAAAAGAACTAAATACCATCCTTAAAATAATCTGGTTCTCTTCCAAATCTCTTATGAGTGTCTCTCATTTCTTGTTGTTTTTATGATTTGAATTTTTCTTTAAAAATTGCACCAGTGAGTTGGTCCCCAGGTTGTGGGTTATTGTTATCAATAAAAACTGCACCAGTAGTTTATATCTAATAATTTCAATGTGGGAGGTTTTCTTGGTTTTGTTTTTGCTATTATCTATCACTTATCTATGACTTGTTTCTTCAGGGTGAGCTCACCTTTTGTTGATGCTAACTTGTGATAATTCTAAAAAAGCCTCTTACTTTCTTCCAGAGAAGACATGTCCTTCAGCCAGGAGTAAGAGGGTATCACTTTAGGAACAGTGATGGCAAACCTTTTAGAGGTTGAATGCCAAACTGCAACTCAAAACCTACTTATTTATTACAAAGTGCCAATTAAACCTAAATACTGAGGTTTTAGTTTAGAACAAGCAACTCTACATTAACATCTTTTGTCTTAAGAAAAACACAATAACGTGTGTGCCATAGGTTTGCCACCACTGCCTTATAGAATAAAATTTCAGCTTTTAAAAAATTGCTTAACTGTTTTTATTCCTTATTTATTTTTTTCAAGACATAATTTCTCTGTGCCTCCTATGAAAAACTAAATACTCTATCCTAGGCATTTATAGTAACTACTACATCTTTTAGGATACTGTTCCCCAGATACTGGTTTTATTCATATTCTTACTTTAGTCTTTCTTTAAACATTACCTTCTTAGCTTTTTCAAATTCTGCCCATCCAAAAAGTAGGTCACTTTCATTCCACATTATTATTTGCTTGACAAACTTCACTTTATTCATGCTACCTACAACTGGCTATTGTTTTATTTATTTATATTTGTTTCCTGATTTATCTTGTAATTCTTTCACAAGAATGCAAATTTCAGCAAAGTACAAATATGTCTAGATGTATATTTCCCCAAAGCCTAGGATACCCCTTGGCATAGAATAGACTCTCAATAAGTAGGTTCTGACTAAATGGTCACATTTTCAAGAATAGAGACAATGATGGTCTAAATTTTTAAAAATCTAGAAAGGAACTTACTCTCAAGTTTGCATAAAAGATTTGTCACTGGGGAAGCGAAGAGCCACCCCCACTCCTTTGAAAGTGGTAATATTATATAATAAAAAACTACCAAGAAAAAAAAGTATAGATTAGATGGGATTCCTTATGGAGATCAAACTGAAAAGCTTTTCTTCTTCTTCTTCTTATTTTGTCTTTTTGAGACAGGGTCTCGCCATGCAATTCAGGCTGGCCTTGAGCTCACTTTGTAGCTCAGGCTGGTCTCAAACTCGCAAAGATCCTCCTGCCTCAGCCTCCCAAGTGCTGGAATTACAGGCGTGCGCCACCACGCCCAGCTTCAAAGATTTTCTTCTCACACAGTGTTTTTCCCATACAATTTAGGCCCGTCGGGGGAAGAGGAAGACACAGTTACATTCCAGTTACCTGAGAAGCTCAAGAAGTAAAGTGATAATCTAGGTGGGTAAATCACTGATTAAAATTTTAACTGATACAGGATCTATCCTTTAATATGCTACTTATCTATCCTTAAAATGCTACTTGAAAAACAATAAACTTTCTTAGATAATTGCAGATTTTTCCCAATTCATTTTCTAATAAAAGGTGATTCCAGTATATTCATTTACTGTAGAATGCAAAGTTCTTAATATGTTACATTCAACTACTAAATACATGGACAAGAGTATGTTTAAGTGATGGATTGTATTCACTTGAGTTGTTAGTAAAATATACTCTGTCACTATAAAAAGGATATAAACTCCTTCAAACAGAAAAAAACTACATATTTCCACATTTAATTTTTTAAATTTATTTTTTGTTTTGTTTTGTCTTTTTGAGACAGGGTCTCACTGTGTAGTTCAGGCTGGCCTTGAGCTCACTTTGTAGCCCAGGCTGGCCTCACTCATCAATCCTCTTGCCTCAGCCTCTCAAGTGCTGGGATTAGAGGTGTGCACCACCACACCTGGCTTTTTTAAATTTGTGACTGGGCCTGTGAGTTATTTAGGACTCTCTTGAGCAATCTAAAGTATAACTACATATAGCCTGTTTTTTTTCTGACAGGTTGCAAGTGTTCTAGAATTCAAATCTAATTCCATAGTAATTAAGGAAGCTAGTAGAAAGACAAGTATCATAGGTAGTGTGAAAGCCTTTTGAAGGATAAAGATGATGAAAGTGCCTTATCTATGCCTACTTTCCAGTAATGTCAAACTATTCATTTAAGAATAATAAATATGATTTACTTTAAAAGTAACTTTGGGGACCAGGGATATAGCTCAGTGGCACAGCATCTGCCTGGCAAGCACAAGGTCCTGAGTTTGATTCCCAGTACAAAAAAAAAAAAAAAAAAAAAAAGGAAAAAGAAAAGAAAAATAAAAGTAACTTTGAAGTAATAGCAGAGAAAGCAGCCATTCCAAAATTAGATCCTGAGATACAAGGGTCAGAGAGCCTTACCTAGTGACACCAAATTACTATAGTTCTCCAACATTACGTTTCTATACAAATCCCTTTGAGTAGGGTCCAGGCACTCCCACTCTTCCTGCGAGAAGTCAACGGCAATATCCCTGAACATCACTGATCTCTAAGACAAGAAACATAATAGAAGTGGGAGAAAAAAATATTTTTTCAATGGAGGGTGAAATCAAGGGAAAAGCAGAGGCTACACAGGAGGCTACAGAGGCTACAGAGAGAAGGCTATGGAGCAAACGAACTGGTAAGCTTCTCACATGGGGAGACAGTAAGGAAATTGGTGATTATAAAGTGCTAACATGTTCCTAACACTGTTGCTATAGATATTTTTCATACATCAAACATCTCAGTATACAGATAAGCCTAGGAATGAACAAAGTAAATGCAATGCCCCAATTAAAAGAAATGGCATATGTAAGAACATTATAAAATACATAAGTTGTATATCATAAATTCTCAATAAACATTTATGTTTTTCTTCTTTTCTATTTAAGGAATAGAAAAAAATCATTGAGAAATGTTTCTGTAAAATCTCATAAGATCTGTACAGTATTAAAGAACTTATTATCATCTATTTTCATCATTATTTCACAGTATTACATCATAAACATTTTTCTGTGTCATCAGTAATTTAATTAATCTTTCTTACAGGCTACAGAATAGCTCCATATGCTGAATATATCTGAATTAATAAGTACTTATATTTGAAATTTTTAGGTTATATAAACTCATAAGTATTTCTTCGTTTCTAATATTTTTTAGATTTATAATTCTCAACAAGTTATGCAGGTGAATGATGATGTTTTTCATTATCATATGTCACTCCTAAATGTACTTTTTTCTCATTCTAAGCAACAGAAAAGTAGAAAACAACTCAAATGCACACATTCAAGATCAGTATATGCAGAACTTCAAATGACCCAATTACTGGTATTAATCAATTGCGTATTCCTAGGGAAGACACTTCATTCTCTGTATTCAGTTTGTCTTTGTGTTGTGTCTGTAACATTAAAAGCTTATAAAACGTGAGTTCTTGTGAGATGCTGAGATGAAACCCAGTCAAGATCAATTCTTATCTTGTCCAACTGGCAAATCTGGGTTTTAAGAGAAATTCAAAGATTTATCATATGTGGTGTCATTTATTATCTTTCTCTATCTTATAAAATCAGAGAAATTTACTTTTGTTACATTAGTGCCCCTAGTTAAAGATGTTGCATAAGTACATAAATATAGTTTCATTAGATAGACGCAATTATGGAAGACACTGTTACTTACAAGAATGGAACAAAATAGAAAGCATGAAGTTAGGAAGTTTTAGGAATAAGCAATGTTAACATACACATGCCTTGTAAAAAAGCAACTAAAACAAAATGGTTCACCTGAAACATGGTTTCTAGAGCTGCAAAAAGTGATCAGTCTTCTGGGTTCCTATCTTACAGAAGGAGAGAGCCTGGAAAAGGCAGAACTGGGGAGGAGAAAACAGAACCATGAGACCAGGTTTTTTTGCAACCCTCCAAATGATTAAACTGAAATTATCTTTGTTGTTTGTCTCTTCCTGTCTCTTGTCCCCACTCCCTGTCTTGGCAGTGGTGCCTAATGGAGATGCCTGAGCTAGAAGCGCAGACATGCTTAAAAGTACAACTGGCCAAAGGGACCTGAATCCTTGCTTTCAACTTCCTTTGTAGACTATAATACATCCCATATGTATGATGGAGAAAACATTTTCCCCTGCCAGCCCTGCTGTGATTGCCTTCAGTGGAGTCTAAGAGCTTACATACAGAGATTTAACAGGTGCCACTCTTCATCAACTATAAAACACACTTTTTTTTCAAGATACAAAGAAAAGTCACCAAAATAAATCAGGTGTTGGGCCACAAAATTTACAGCAATAAATACTTAAAAATGGAATCATGCAGAATATATTCTTTATTCTTTAGCACATGATATTAAATTAGGAAATAGTAACAGTAAGGGGTCCAGAAAAATCCCCAATATTTGAAAAGTAAACACTTCTACATTAAGTTACAGTCCAAAAGAAATCATAAAACATATTTGAAAGTATGTCAAATCAAATGACTTATGGTAACAAATGCTGTAGCCTGCAACAAAAGCAACATTTACAGGAAGGTTTATAGTTTTAAATATTTATACTGTATTAGAAGGAAAAGGAAATAAAAGACCATTGATTTAGGATCCCACCTGAAAAAAAGTGGTTTACAACTTAATTTGATTTAAAGGAAGCATGGTTCTCTTTATAAAATTATCCCTGATAATAAATGCAGAAGAAATGACAAAAGTAAGAACATAATTTTGTAATCTAAAATAACCCAGCATGAAATAAAGATATAAATGGCTACTAACAGTTCATCTAAGAAAAGAAACAAGTTGGCATGAAAGTACACATTTATAATTCTAGTTCGAGGGAGGCTGAAGCAGGACTATTGTGAGTGTGAGGCCAGCCCAGCTTACATAAATGAGTTCAAGGCCAGCCTGAAATACATAGTAAGGTCCTGTCTCAAAAAAGAAAAAAAAGGAAGGAAAGAAGGAGGAAGGAAAGCAAGCAGGCAAGCGACCAAGCAATCTGTAGCACACCACATGACAGAAGTACCTGTCACCATCTACAAAGGACGAGTGCAAAACAAACAAAAACCTGAACCTGGTCAAACCTCTATAATAATTACACAATTGTTTATAAAAAATGCAGGGGTGGAACAACATTTAAAGACACCAGATCTAAACTATTAACAAAATTCAGAATATTGGTAACTCTACAAAGGAACACTTTCTAGAACAAAAAACTATAAAAAAAGTGGAAGAACTTAGAGATTTAAAAAATTAAGAAAAATATTACACTATTATAATAAATAGACATTGATTTTTGATCCTAATAAAATGTAAAAATATTTATGGGCAATGGAGAAATCTGAACACTGATCAGCTTTTCCATGACATTAAGACAGTATTGAGTTTTTTCTTTTTAGTAGTGATTATATATTTTAACTAAAAAGTTTTGTCTTTCAGACATATGTAATAAAATATTTATGGATGAAATTGTATTACCTGGAATTTTCTTCAAAATAATCCATGTTGGTTGTTTCATTTTGTTCTGAAGGGGTAGCAGGAAGAGTGGAACTACAGATAAAAACACGTTTAGCCATAAAATGGTAGTTGTTGAAGCAGGATGATGGGAAGATTACATGGGGATGCATCGCACTATATTTTTTACTTTTGTATACACTTTAATTTTTTTCATAAAGAAGTTTCAAAGAGGGCAAACCATTCAGTAACCCTCCTGTCTCTCAAGAGCCATTCCTATTCCCTATTCATTTTCTCCAATAAATTTTCCTACTCTTAAAAAATAAAAAGTTTAAAAAAAACCCAAAGATTCTACATATGAACAATGATATTCCAGAGGACAGTTTTTCAGTAACTGTTAAATTGCCAGATCTTTCTTTTCATGTTTTCTAAATTATGCTAACCAACATGTAGTACACATATTTTACAGTTTATATCTGGATGTCCTTCCAAAGGCTCATATGCTCATAGGTGGGGCTTTTGGGAGATGACTGGCTCATGGCTGGTATGTGATACTCGTCACTGCATTTGGGCACTGATGAATTTACAACTAAATGTGATGTTGGGAGGTGAAGTCTGGCCAGAGGAGGTGGGTCACTGGAGGCATGACCTGGAAGATTACCTCCCTCTCCCTTCTCTCTTGATTGCTCTCTGTTTCCTGCCACCACCATATCCCTCTGCCATATAATCCTTCCTTAAAGCCAGACAGCTATGGACTAAAATCTCTACCAACTGTGAACCAGAGTAAACCTCTCCAACTTTAACTTTTGATTGTCATGTATTTCGTTCCAGCAATGCGAAAGTAACTAAGATATCTGATATCAGAAAACAAATAATAATTTTTTGAAATCATAAACAAGGGCATGGAATTTTATAAAAACTAGATTCTTAGGCTGGGGCTACAGCTCAATGATAGAGTACAGTCCTCACATGCCAAAATAATTAGGTTCTATCCCCAACACAATAAAATAAATGAGAAGAGTGGGAAGGGGAGAAAAATAGTATTTAACAGTATAAATTCTAAGACAATTTTCTCTTTTTTTTTTTTGGTTTTTCTCCAGTACCGGGAACCGAACTCACGACTTTGCGCTTGCCAGGCAGGCACTTTGCCGCTGAGCTAAATCCCCAGCCCCGACAATTTTCTAAAAATTAGGAACAGAGGAAAAGATAGGGAAAGAAATAAGTGAAGAAATGCACCAACTTTATCATTACTCAGAATTCAAGTAGAACATATGTCAAAAATATTTTAAAAACTAAAAGTAGGCCACATCTAAAAACCTTCCCCAAAGATAAACTCCACAAATAAAAAAATCATATATTCAATTACTGATGGCTGCATCATGTAATGTGAAAATATTGGAAAAAAATAGCTGTTGATAAGACTGGCTGAATAAATTATTACTCCTAAGCAACAGAATATGCAGCTATAAAATAAAGAATGAGGAAGATCTTGGAGGATTTCTAGCAATATATAGATGCATGAAAAAGAAAAAGTTGCACATATATATATAGTGTAATTATCTATAAATGGAAGAAGTAAGCAGGATAGAGAGGGAGGAATAGACAGAACACACATTTGGAATTCATATTCTGTAACTTTGATTTTGGAAATATGTAAATGTATTACATAATTTTAAAACAAAATTAAATCAGAATAGGAGGAAAACAATACTTAAAAGTGGCACAGTAGCACATGCCTGTAATCCCAGCTACTTGGAGGCTGAGGCAGAAAGTTTCCAGATTCACAGCTAGCCTGGGCAACTTAGTGAGACCCTGTCTCAAAATACAAGCTCAATGGTACACTGCCCTTGAGTTACTCAGTACCACCAAATAACCAGAACAAAACCAAACAAAACAAGAAAAAACAAAACGAGGAAAGCAAAATAAAGTGGCCTGTATCTTCAGTAAGTTGCTTAACTATATGACATTAGGTGACAGTAAAAAAAATAATTTTATTATATATCCCTACTGGGGATGTATCCTATTCAGTTGCAGGAAGTCTTGATGATTTTTCTGTATTCATATGGCTAGTAAAAATAAGGGTATTGTAATTTTGAAATTCCTTATCTCTCAATAACTACAAAAGAAGGTAAAATAGAAAAGAGAATAAAGAGAAAATAGGCAAATATACAGCAAATAACAAAAGAACAGATATTGTATTGGTTTGGTGCTTATTTTGTAAGGGGAACAATGTAATACAGGACACATATTTTATACAATTATTTATAATAGTCACCCAAAGAATGATATACGAGAGAGTGCAGGAAATCTGTTCACACACTATAGACCAAGAATCCAGCTGAGGCCTGGATCCCGCAATAATGTCCTGCATGAGTCCAGCTGAAGACCTAGAGCCCGTAACAATGCCTTCCACAAATCCAACTGGAGGCCCAGAGTTCATGACAATGTCTCATGCATGCCTGTTTCATGAATCTATGCTAGAAAGGGCCAAAGGTCAGTGGTAGAAGCTAGAAAGTCGGGATGAAGGATCTGTGCTAACAGGCTGAGGGATCTACACAAGAGCCAGGAAGCAACATGCAAAGTAAAAGCTAGGGCTACCCTGAAAGGTCCCACAGCTATCCTCAAAAACAGTGAGGTCCTGAGCTCCTCCGATGACCAGAACAGCTGGGCTTTCATCAGGAAAGCCAATGTGACAAGCTTCTCCAGCAGACTGAGTAGTGTGCCATCTTCCCTTCCGGAGCCAGGAAGCGATGCTCAGAGTGAGGACCAGAGCTCCCCCAAAGTGAACGGAAGCCATTCTCAATGCCAACAAGATCCTGAGCTCCTCAGAGGATAAAAACAGCCAAGTTCATCAGGAAAGCCAGCATGATGAGCTCCTCCAAAAGAACCAACAGCTCCTTACAGCTTCTACCAGCTCGCAACAGCTTTCCTCAGTTCCCAACAGCCTTACTTCTTCTTCTCCAGTTTTGCCTCTTATGCTGCTGGCAACAATCCTCAGGTGAGCTTTCCACACCCAGCACCATGCTTACTCAGTTCAGCTGGGGTTATAAGTTGACCACCAGTTGTCAATCCACTACAGATATGAACCAAACCATATCAATAATCACACTAAATACAAATGCTAAATGCTCCAATTAAAACACCCAAATCACCAAATTAGGTAAAAACACAAAACAACTATATGTTGTCTTCAAGAAATGGACTTGAAATATCAAAATACAAATAGGTTAGAAATAAAAGGGTGTAAAAAGATATACATACCTAATACTAAGGGAAAAAAAGCTAAAGTGGCTTCATTAAATGGCAGAGAAAATGTATGTTCAGAGAAAAGAATACTACCAGGGATAAAGAAGACAATTTTAGGAGAATTACGGCAAGATGGCAGCGAGCTAAGCAAAAGAGAAAGAACCTCTCCAAGTGCTGCCATCCAAACGCTGCAATATAAACATGGGGAGGTTGAGGAGGTGGGAGGCAAGCCCCACCAGACCCAGGAAAAAACTGAGGTGTGAATTGAAACCCACAGAGAGAATAAAGAAACTTCAATAAAGAAGGAGGTACCCAACAAGACGGGACTCACAGCGCAAAAGGAGCAATCCAAATCTACTGACACGTGGCAAGTTCTGGCGACCACAGAGACCTCTAAGGAGAGATGCAGGAGTGGAAGGGAACAGCAAATGTGAAATACTGCACTGGCTGCCGTGGAGGACTGCACATACTGTGGGTAAGGAGGGCTCAGCTCTCCTGTGTGAGAGAGCTATTGGCAGGGAACCATTTTGGAGATGGACCTATAGAACTTAAGAGTAGCTGATAGCTCAGTCTAGTGGCTCAAGATGAGCTCAGGCTTGCGAAACGTATGCTGACAGCGCTTTTTGGGATAAATCAATACAAACACTATCTACATATTTTGTTTACCAGCAACAGCAGAAACAAACCTGAAACAAACCTGAAAGTGGATGTTTTATTGGTGTTGTTGTTCGTTTTTGTTTTCCTCTCTCACTCTCATTTTTTTCTTTCCTAGTTTTTTTCCTTTCCTCTTTTTTCTTTTATTCTTTCTTTTCTTTTTCATTGTTTGAACTTTTGTTTATATGAGGGTGAACATGGTGTCTAGCCTCTTTGCGGGTGTCATGCTGTTCAGTTCCTCTTTTTATCTCTTCCACTGCTCCTCCCAATCTTCTGCACCAGCTTCTCCAAGTTAGTATGATCCTCCTTTGTCCTCCAGCCTTTTAATCTCTTCTTTCTCTTCCACTTCTTTATTTTCTCCCTAACCCATTTAAAATTTTAACACCTTAGGGCAAAACTGACATACTAAGGACTTGTATACTGTGTACAATTTTCTGGTTTGTTTTTGATTTTGTTATATAACCACAAATCTAGTTCCTGGTTAAAGGTGGCAAATTTATGTTTACTTTAGTTTGTCACTTTCTAGGCTGTGTTTTATGTTATTGTTATTGGTATCACTAAAGCCAAAAGTGACATAATTATTCTAAACAGCTATTACAAACATCACCCCAGAAATTAAACTAAAAAAAAAATTAGGGGATACTTAAGATGCAACCCCAAACATCACCAAAGGCAAACCCAGGGGGCAGTCAATGAGGTGGGTCAATCTGAAAACCACCCACCTGGCCTCTCTGCAGTAATAACAGAGCAACTGAATGAGACTCTAGAAAAAAATCAAATCAGAAATAATCTCTCAGATAACTGCAGAGATGGTGTCCACAATGAAAACCATGCTTAGTGATTTTAGAGAAGATATACACAAGGACATAGACAAACTGAAAAAATTTATGGAAACCATGAATGCTCAACATAGGAAAGAAACAGAATCCATAAGGCAGATTCAAGCAGATATCCAGAATAAAAATTCTATTGAAAGTATTTGCAGCAGATTAAGTCAATGTGAGGACAAAATAAATCTCAGATATAGAAAATAGTCTTGCAACTAGCAACTATGAAAAGAAATATTTCTTAAAAATAGCAAGAGACCATGTGAAATCAATACAACAGCTGCTAGATGATATGAAGAAGAATAACAAGAACAATTGGAGTCAATGAAAGCAGAAGATAGTACAAATGATATTTAAAAAAATGTTCAC